CGCGCCCCACTAGTGGGGAATAAAGACATGACAGGTGGGGCGCAATGAACGGAGAAAATTAGAAATGGGTCATTAATACAACTAAATTAAAATAACATCAGTTCGGGGCGTGAGAGAAAAAAGTGGAACCATAGAGCAACAATAGCGGTTTACCGTCGGCATGTTAATACAAAGAAACAACAGGCAGTAAACCTTATTAACCAAAAAGCCAGATGAAAAGAAAATATTGTTGAAGGATTCATGGTGGGAATGGTGGGGGCAGAGGAGGGACCCATGTGTGTCTTGTGTCTTAAACCACTGGCAGCAGACAGCATGAGACCCAACCAATTAAGAAGACATTTAGAGACGTTAATAAACCACTCGACGTCTTTGAAAGAAAGTTGGCAGAATACCGTTAGCAGAAAAATCGCATGGTAAAATCCACATCAGTGAAGAGCAAAGCACAAATGGCTTCATTCCAAGTTGCATCCAGAATTGCCCAGTGCAAAAATCGTACACAATTGCTGAGCAGCTCATTCTCCCTGTAACTGTAGACATGGAGTCGATTACGTTGGATGAGACAAGTGCTGCAAAACTGAACTATCCCCTTGTCAAACGATACAGTTGCACTTATATTTTATCTGTTTTGAACTTAGTGTTATTTCATATTAAAATAAATTTGAACTTTTAAAATTGTCTGATTTCGTTATAATTTTTTGACAAGTGGGGCTTGAAAATTCGCCCACCCTCTTAAGTGGGGAATGACAAAAAATGTTTGAGAACCACTGCTTTAACTGCAGCAGCCAGTGGAAATTTTTAATTAACTGGTTAGTCATTTAGTCTATATAGGATGTCAAGGAATACTAAAAAATGTACATCACAATTTGTTTATAAAAATTTATTAAGTGATATTTCCCTCCACAATTGTTCCTGATGAATTTTTGTTGATTGACTATATATTAATTGTCACACATGGTGACACAACCTTTCCATCTACAGTCATTTAAGGGGTATTATCCCATATAGTGTGTAAGTATACATACATTCTCATATACAGTATGCATACAAATACATGTGTATTTGTACTGCATGTTTCTTATGTACATATTTGGCTCATTATTTCTGTCATGTACTAGACATTGTGGTACCATGAACACCCAACTTATGTAATGTGCAGCAGAAAGTCATGGGAACTTTGTCAAGTGTTACTTATTTACACAGCTGTGTGCTGGCAGGTTATTTTGAATTCCACTTCTATCGGAAGAAGGAAAATGCAAACCAAACTAGGTACCAAGTGAACAGAAGGAATATAAACAGACTTTTAAACATTTGATTAGGAAGTTTAAAAAGAAAAGGGAAAAAACTGTAAAGATTTGAAAATGTAAAGTTGGCAGTGTTTCCTGTGGTTGTTCTTGAATGTTTATATCCTACACTGAATTTACCTGAAAGCTTCAGCTACTGAAGCATGAACACAAGATTACTGCTATAAAAAGAGCTGTTTATAAGGAACTCAACACAAACCAAGGAGTCTTGATCGTTTTAGTAATGTAAAGATCTTTAAAAGTCATTTTCATTTCTATTCTGAGACTATGAAGATGAAGCCTCACAGCAATGCAAGAAGATGGTGTGCAGCATTACTTCTTTCTCAAAGGATCCAGGGCTGCATCACTGTTACCTAGTCATTAAACCTCTCCCTGAACCAAGACATCTGGCATTTTCTGTACAAGTGGAGGTAGTGGAGGTCCTCCTTTAGGTTGTTCCAAACATTTGGTGAGGCAGCTTTTAGTTTTCATGCTCAGAGCCACAGACCTTTTTCACAGCACACATCTTGAATCTTCACAGTATGTAGTGCACAGGTGTAGCTACCACTGTTAAAGACAGCTGAGTTCTTTTAATTGTCTCACTATAGAACGTCACTCAGCGAGCATGCTCCACCTCCATGCTGGAAACAGCTCACATAAATGAACTGCAGCCATCATGATTGTCATCAATTGCATGTGTACTTTTCCTGCTAGGTTGTCAGAATCATCTGCCTGAGGATCTGGGAACAGCTGAAAACGGGATTATTTATTCTGTTTATTCATTCTTATTGTATTGATGTTTTTAAAAGTTTTATTCCTTCCAATATTTTATTTGTGATTGTCTTTTATCTGTTTAATCTATTGACTTATTAAAATATAACATATGTTGCCTCTGAATTTAGTGGAGTAAAAGTATTAAATACGATGAAATACAATTCTTCAAGAACAAGCACCTCCAACATCTTAAGTACAGCGACTGAGTAAATGTGGTTACATTTCATCACTGAAAGAAAGTCAAAACAAAATGCACTGGTCTTACAGACCAGCTACATGATTAGGTCTTGATAAACAACACATCATTAAAAGCCCCGACCCCCTTGTTCTCCTCTAGAATTTTCACACCTCCTGTTCTATAAAAGCAGGCTGCACCTGAATTTCAGGTTCTTCTGATTGAAGCCATGAATCTGGCAGCTGCTCTGGTGCTGCTTCTCACTGGTAAGACTGTAGAAACCATCAATATGTATCAATCTTTTACAAGACTTATTGTAAAATGTGCATCTGTTTAAATACTCCTTGTGAAGTTCTCTCAATCATTGTTCTATCTTTCGCATTAGAAGTACTTATTTTCTCCTGAGCCACTCATTTTCTGTTTATCTACCTTGCATATCTTTATCAGCTCATATGGCCAGCGGTGCCTTGTGGCAGCTTGGGGTGATGATCAGCTGTGTCCAGCCTGGTGTTAACCCTCTAGCATACGACAATTACGGCTGCTGGTGTGGCATCGGAGGAGGGGTGGGGGCTCCTCGGGATGAAGTGGACATGTAGGAAGCAGGCAATTCTGCAGTTTTGGTTCCAAACCATTTCTAAAATAAGCCTGGGATATGAACTGTTTCCCCTGTATTCTCAGGTGCTGTCAAGTTCATGATAAGTGCTATGACACAAACAGAAATGTGTCTGGATGTGACTCCCTTATGCAACATCCCTACATCCTGGTTTATGGTTACACCTGTTCAAATCAGCAAGTGACCTGCTCAGGTAAGACTGTGACTGGGATAAACTAGAGGCGCTTTGACACACTCGTATACATAGACATCAGTTTCTTACCATTCTGAATGACTGTGAAGCTATGCCTTGATGAAATTCTAAGACCTAAACTGGAAATGTTCTGAGATGATACTGGTCAAAATTACACAACATCTCATAAAATTTTGAATCCTGCTTTTTGGAAGGGAATTTTTGTTTTACACTTCCTCGTCTGGTCATTTAATTGAGTTCACAACACTTTTAGGCCGCATTACGCACGCAGTTTCTGACAGCTAGGTTGTCAGAATCGTCTGCCTGAGGATCTGGGAACAGCTGAAAACGTTCAGGTAACTTTAAATCTACCCCTTTAGCTAGGCTTTGGATTGGAACATTTTAAGGGCATTATCTATTGTTTTTTCATTTTTACTGTATTGATGTTTTTAAAAGTTTTATTTCTTCCAATATTTTATTTGTGATTGTCTTTTATCTGTTTAATCTATTGACTTATTAAAATATAATATATGTTGCCTCTGAATTTAGTGGAGTAAAAGTATTAAATACGATGAAATACAATTCTTCAAGAACAAGCACCTCCAACATCTTAAGTACAGCGACTGAGTAAATGTGGTTACATTTCATCACTGAAAGAAAGTCAAAACAAAATGCACTGGTCTTACAGACCAGCTACATGATTAGGTCTTGATAAACAACACATCATTAAAAGCCCCGACCCCCTTGTTCTCCTCTAGAATTTTCACACCTCCTGTTCTATAAAAGCAGGCTTCAGCCAAATTTCAGGTTCTTCTGATTGTAGCCATGAATCTGGCAGCTGCTCTGGTGCTGCTTCTCACTGGTAAGACTGTAGAAACCATCAATATGTATCAATCTTTTACAAGACTTATTGTAAAATGTGCATCTGTTTAAATACTCCTTGTGAAGTTCTCTCAATCATTGTTCTATCTTTCGCATTAGAAGTACTTATTTTCTCCTGAGCCACTCATTTTCTGTTTATCTACCTTGCATATCTTTATCAGCTCATATGGCCAGCGGTGCCTTGTGGCAGCTTGGGGTGATGATCAGCTGTGTCCAGCCTGGTGTTAACCCTCTAGCATACGACAATTACGGCTGCTGGTGTGGCATCGGAGGAGGGGTGGGGGCTCCTCGGGATGAAGTGGACATGTAGGAAGCAGGCAATTCTGCAGTTTTGGTTCCAAACCATTTCTAAAATAAGCCTGGGATATGAACTGTTTCCCCTGTATTCTCAGGTGCTGTCAAGTTCATGATAAGTGCTATGACACAAACAGAAATGTGTCTGGATGTGACTCCCTTATGCAACATCCCTACATCCTGGTTTATGGTTACACCTGTTCAAATCAGCAAGTGACCTGCTCAGGTAAGACTGTGACTGGGATAAACTAGAGGCGCTTTGACACACTCGTATACATAGACATCAGTTTCTTACCATTCTGAATGACTGTGAAGCTATGCCTTGATGAAATTCTAAGACCGAAACTGGAAATGTTCTGAGATGATACTGGTCAAAATTACACAACATCTCATAAAATTTTAAATCCTACTTTTTGGAGGGGAATGAACACAAGTATATCTAAGTGTGTGTTTATAAACACAGTATTTACCTGAGTGTTTATATAAAAACTTTTTTTGGCTGATTAACAGAACAACACTGATAGCATTCAGTGAATAGCAGAGTGTCACTTGACTATTGACAATAAATTTAAGACTGTACTTGTAACCTAGTGCATAGATATGCTATAAAGTAAGTAGCTGTGTTCAAACCAATATACATATGTGTATATACACACAGTAGGAATGACACAGTCAAGGACTGAGATTTGTTACCCACACTACAAAGCTCTAAGTGATAAGTACACAACCAGACTATTAGCATTATGTTTTAAGTGTGATCCATGTTTTATTATTCAGCAGCTACTCACTCACTGACTCAACTGTCTCTCCAGCTACCAACAATAGGTGCCAGGCTGCTGTGTGCGAGTGTGATCGGGCGGCAGCTGAGTGCTTTGCTAAGGCCACATACAACCCTGAAAACAAGAAGCTGGATCACAAAGCCGACTGTTAAAATCCATGCCCCTTAAAAAAACAGAATGGTGGATTTGAAAAATGTTTTCAAATTTTCATTTATCGCTATGCATCAGTTTAACATAAGGAAAATAAAGTGAGGCTCATGTTGCCTTCCAGCTGAATTTCTCCCTCTTGTCTATTTACACACATATGAAGGGTTTTTGTGGCAGAGGCTCCAGCTGTGCTTATCCTTGTACTTTAAAAACATTTAAAACATTTAGTTTAATCCAATTTCAAGTCGGTTAATATGGAAAATTAGATGTGATTTTTTTTTTTCATAATAAACCAACAGAAGCTTGGGTTTGTTTCTAGGACTGTAATTTGTTACCTGAAAGGAGAACATTAGTTAAATGTGCTCAGTCAATCGTCATCTGGATTAAGTGAGGATGCAATGAAAACCTCACTTGACCCCTGTTTTTAGGTTGTATGGTTGGATCAGACACTGTGCAGCAACTAAAATATCCACGAAGATACCAATGACAGCTCAGACAAATGAGGAAGACTTTTTGGTCCAGTTTCAACAAAACAATCCAAATATCAGCTGTGTACAACAACTAGATTAACAATACAAAAGATTTCAAAATAAAGAGGCTGGATCATGGTTCTTTGGATTATACTGGCTTGTAGAGAAGAGTGGTCACATACTTCTTTTTGTATCGGTGTGTTGCACTGAGGACCATCACCCCGTCCTACAATACAAGAAGAGTATTTAGATGCAAATGAGGGTTATACAGCAGCTGAAGTTTACAATGCTAAATCAAAAATGTTTTCCTATTTTTAATTGAAAATTTGGTACAATTCTAAATACAGGGAATAAAAATTTGAGTTATAGCATCAACACTTTGGACAATGATAGTTATGAGTAAACAGAATAATACTAGATTCAAGGTAGAAGTACGATAGCTTACAGCACCAACTCAAAAAGTTGGGATGCTATGTAAAATTAAAACTGAAAACTGATTTGTAAATCATCTGTGTTCTATATTACATGGAAAAAGTAGGGACAGTAAAGCGTTTACCACGGTGTGATGTTGCTGTTCATTTTCACAACACAAAAGACATTTAGTGACCGAGGACACCGAGTGATTGTGTCAAGTGTCATTTTGTCCCATTCTTTACAAATCACTATTTTCAGTTTTAATATAGATTTTACATACCATCCCAACTTTTACTGATTTGGGGTTGTATAATAACACCACTAAAGATTTATGCCCTTCCTAGCAGAGAGCACAAGTCATCCAGCATTTTGTGTCCACATCAGTCGTTGCACATAATGCTCTAGGCAACCAGCGACACTTACTCCCTACAATTTGAACAACATCCATTAGGTTAGTAGGTATTTTGTCTGACAGACAGAGGGGGTTGATCAATAAGTTTACACTGCTCTCAATGTGAGCGAGAAGAATTTAACAAAGCAAATATGTCATAAAAAGATCTGCTACCTTGATGGAGAGGGCGTACAGGTGATTAAGCATCACATGATTGGGCTCTGGAAGCAACGTCGGGTCACACTGAGGAGGATTTAAAGAGAAGATGACCTTTGTAAGCTGTCATAACAGATTCCTAGAGCAATCCATGCATCATTAAGACAAGCTCATATTCCTGCATCAAGTCTGCACTTACAGAGACACCTGTATCCTTGTTGAGCAGCACTTGCAGCAGGTGGGGAGGTAATTTAGGAGGAGGTTTGAGCTTGTCCTCCGACTTGGCCACATACGTGTCCTGTTGGTATGGGCCAGGAGGGGAACTGGATAACTCTGGGAAGGAATGATCACAGAACACAATTTAATACAGCCTCACACCAAAGGAATAAGGTAGACAGAATTAATCAAATTTCATAAATTGGCAAATATCACAGATTAACACAGTATACTTGAAAAGTAACTAGTCAGTGTTCAATATGTAGCCAGTCTGAATGTACCTGAGATGTCTGCAGAATCCTGTGAGTCAAGCCTGAGGGCATCAAAGACTTCAAAGTCAGTTCTCTTCACTTGGATCACGTTATTGACTGTTCCAGTTTTAGATGTCATCACAGCCTGGGACAGCATGTAGAGAGAAATTAAATCTAGACACCTAGGAGTGTAGATTAGATATGTCTAGCAGCAAGAATAATGGGAGTACACTTTGAGTCTAAAATTGCCTCTTCACTCACGCCATTAGGATCCAAAGTCCACTGACCATCTACACAGAACTTATACTGGTGCTCTCCCTCAGGCAGGTCCACTATAGCCACAAAGTTTTTCTGACTGGGTTTGAGAAATAAGCACATGTCACATTTTCATCAAGCATGTAGGATAACACATTCTGCGTGAGTCCTACTACCTTCTGTTGAGTGGGATTTTGGTGGCCCAGTTGTTAAAAGAGCCGGACACAAACACTTCCTTGCCGACCCCCGACCAGCAGAACACAGTCGGTCTAGCTTGCCCAGGGTTTTTGCTGTTACTGTCCAGGTCCTGCTGCCAAGCCAGAAATTCCTGCATTTCCTGCTTAGTCTGGACAACATGATGTCAGTGTAGTGTTGCCACGCTATCCTCTCGCACGGTTCCCCAACACAACACTTCCTGACTGAACAACCAGCTGAAGACAGGTTTGTGTATGGGTTTTGAAAAATGAAGCTACATCGTTTTCTTGCAAACTTTGTTTATGTGTCGTCCTCATAAAAGGTAACGAGAACAGACATAATACACAAGCTTCTTGCACAATTTCACATTTGGTTTTTTGGTATGGAGTTGTAGGCAAGTCAGCTTAATCCGACTCTGTTAGCTACAATATGTTAGCAACACCTGCTGATTCATAGTAACTGATAGACTGGACAGTTACTTTGTATGATTGAACATGTAATGTGTTTACAAAATGTTTGACTTTGCCTGTACAAACAATATAGTCTCCCCAGAGAGGTTATGAATGGACCACTGATGTGCCAAGTACGTATGTTACAAAGCATAACAAAGGTTTTTAGATGTTTTTCCCTTTTTGTAAGCAGCCGAGGAAGTCCTTTCCAAAATCAGAATCACTTAGCAGAAACTCAACACTTGCTTGAAATGGGTTAATAAGTATTGCCCTTAGTTTTCGTTACATTGTTAACTGTGTGCTGTACAAAGGTGGAACTGTTTTGTAAACACTTCATCGTAATGCTTCCTGTAAACTGCTTAAATCTGACACTTTAAAGTTGACTGTTGAAGAGCAATCCTTCTGTTGCACATATGGTTTGTTCTTTCATTACAATGAAGATGTAAAAGTACTCACAATTATGGTATTAATAATTTAGCTATGTATCCTATTTCTAAGTCATTTAAATGTGACACCAGTTTTGGTACAACTGTGTGAGTCTACCTTTGGCTCTTCTCTCTGGAACAGGTCTGAG